TTAATATAGAAAAAAATTCAAATAATTTGTAAATTTAAAATTTAGGTTTCAATGCAACAAGATCAATTAATTTAAAAGGTAAAAAATTATAATATTTGGGCAAAGTCCCCCATGTCCGGACCCATGAGCTGTTGGGTTTAAGTAACCATGTTGAAAAGCCCTGCTGAGTAATAGCAACTTTTGTGGTTTTCAAAGTTAGTTTTCTGTGGTAGACATCTTAAACCTGGTCATTTCCAAAAAAGAAAATTAATGGTTTGTGAGATATTTTACTACCAACACAGACAACATGGGGAACATTTTTCTCTCTGATAAAATAAACAAATATTATATTTAATGTTGTTGCAGGGAGAATCTCCGTTTCTTTCATTTGTTTCAGCTGTTTCTGCCCTGGTGGGAAAACAAAAGAGCTGCAATATTAGTTTCAGCCACTGAGGTGATTTATGATTGAACCCTGGAAACAAATAACCCAGCTGATAACAGACAGCCCAGTTTGCCCAGAATTTATTACAATCACCAAAAGCTCCAGTGATCCATGGATTAGATCTCATAAAGGAGTCCTCTCACATGAGCTGATGAATGTAGGCTTCACCTCCGAGAGAAAGGAAATGTAGCGGTTTCCTCCCTGACATGTTAATGTCTACACAACTGAAGTGCTGCGGTCAGATTCAGAGCCACTGAAGTGCAGCTCCAGGCACTTCCCACAAAGTTTTATTAGTGTAATGCAGCATCCGGTCACATGCTGAAGCTGAAAGCTATATTCCAGCTCTGAAAGTTACAATGTTGTCCTGGATCCATGGCAATGGGATTGTATAGTAGTAGAAGACTCTCCTGGTCTGCCTCCTCAGTTCTTAAATATTTACAGACTGTCATTAAACATGGCCGTCACCCAAATCTTTTTAAATATGTTGCTGCCATTAAGGGGGACTGGTAGTCCCTACGTTGTGGGACAGTTTTATTGGTATACATACCTACTTGTGGGGACATAATGTTACTTATGGGTACCTGAATGGTACTTATGTATGGGGACCTGAGTCGAGTCCCCATAAGGAGAAATGCCATTGGTGGGTTGGGGGTTAAGTTTAGGACCAAGGTGTGAAGTGAGTTTAGGTTAGTTTTAGGGTCAGGTACCTGTGAGGTTAGTTTTAGGGTCAGGTACCTGTGAGGTTAGTTTCAGGGTCAGGTACCTGTGAGGTTAGTTTTAGGGTCAGGTACCTGTGAGGTTAGTTTTAGGGTCAGGTACCTGTGAGGTTAGTTTCAGGGTCAGGTACCTGTGAGGTTAGTTTCAGGGTCAGGTACCTGTGAGGTTAGGTTTAGGGTCAGGTACCTGTGAGGTTAGTTTTAGGGTCAGGTACCTGTGAGGTTAGGTTTAGGGTCAGGTACCTGTCAGGTTAGGTTTAGGGTCATGTACCTGTCAGGTTAGGTTTAGGGTCTGGTACTTGTGAGGTTAGGTTTAGGGTCAGGTACTTGTGAGGTTAGGTTTAGGGTCTGGTACCTGTGAGGTTAGTTTTAGGGTCAGGTACCTGTGAGGTTAGGTTTAGGGTCAGGTACCTGTCAGGTTAGGTTTAGGGTCATGTACCTGTCAGGTTAGGTTTAGGGTCATGTACCTGTCAGGTTAGGTTTAGGG